CAAATAATTCCAAATGTATTCAAAATTAACAAGAAAAGCCTTGCACCAATGTAATCACTGTAGCCCCACTTTTGATTAAGAAGCATGTGGGAGTACCTTAATTTTTAAAGTCGAGTACTAGCTCGATATTTTTCTATCCCTCCAATAGGTACTAACATTACCTATGTAACTTCTATTTAAAAAATTCAACATGAGAAAATATGGAACAACCCGAAAAATAATTAAAAAAAAAAGAGAGAGAAGGTTAGAAAACAGAGACAGCCAAATACTTTCAAAAACAGAAAACCGATTGCAATAAGCCATTGATTGATTTCTATTTTTCCCTCTTTCCTTCTTCTTCTCCTTCTCCTTCCCTCTCGAAACCCTAGCGATGGCTTTGTCATCGACGTTTCGATGTCCTTAGAACCGGTTTATTTTGCGGTGTTGCGTGTGTTGTTTCGCCGGAGAATGGCCAGGAAGCCACTACTGACGAGCCACTCTCCGTCATTCCGAGTATTCGCTAGGGTTTCGAGTCCAACATAAGAATCAATCTGGAACATCTACCACCGTCCGATCGATCGATCAGAGGGAGGGGCAGCGGGATTGTTCTGCGCAATCATGGTGAAGGCGTGGATGGTGGTCGAGAAGTGGAGGCGGATCGTAAGGACGGCGTTCTTCATGGTGGCTATGGTAGCGTCACTGTTGGCGTCGTCCCTGCCGTTGCTGGTGGCGATAGGGGACATCCTTGTGCCGTGCGTTCTGTTGTCTAGCTTCACGTGCGTTACGTGTTACGGCTTCAAGGAGCACTTCCATAGATATGCGTTCAAGAGCTCCCTGACCGATATTCCTCTCGTTTCTATCATCAGATCTATCATCATTACTTGTATGCTCTCAATTTTTTTTTCTCCGTTTTAATTTTTATCAAAAGATTTCAATTTTGTTTCCTTCGTTTAATTCTCTAGTGTCAAAGGAATAAAAAAAAAAAATTCTTCGTTTCTGCAACTTTATATTTTTGTTTTTGTTTTTTTTTTTTTTTACAGAAAACCTTATTTTTATTCTGCTTTCGTCTTCTTCTCCTAATGTTTCTGCTCTTTTTTATTTTTAATTTTTCCAGTTTTTGTTTGATTCCATGCGGTTTTTAATATATTGAAGTTGGCATTTAGTTTTTATTTTGTTCCGATTTTCATGCATAGTTGGTTACTTAGAGATTGCGGGAAAAAGAAGGGGAAAATGAGCTATTGTTTTTTAGTTGAATTCTACATTTCTGTTCTGGTAAGAAATGGAATTTAAAGTATTTTAAATTTATTTTCTGTGTGTTTTTTTTTTTTTTTTAAAATTTATCCTTGGTTTAAAGAAATGGGAATAATTTTCAATTTTTCATTGTTGGGGATGCCGGTTCTGTTTCTTTGCTCTCTATATGGATGTTTTGCCTAATTGCATGCTCTTTTTTACTGCAGGTGTATATTCAATGTGTGATGCACCGGCTGTGTCTCATGGTCCTTACCTTGGAACTGTGACTCTGTGTTCTTTTCTTTCAATTTTTCTTCTTTCAGTTAAGGCTTGCGTTTTTACTGTGAATTCACAAATTGAGGCCGAGGCTTCATCTTCCCTTGCAAGGCAAAAGCTTCATTTGAAGAAGTCGTGGGGGATGCCTGTGTTGTTTCTTTCTTCAGTTGCTTTTGCTCTGGGCCATACTGTAATTGCTTATAGAACAAGTTGTCGGGCAAGGAGGAAACTTCTCTTTCATCGAGTTGACCCAGAAGCAGTAAGTTTGCTATGGATTATCTTCTGTTATTATTATTATTTTTTTTTATGAGCTTTTATTGTTCTGTCATTGATAAAGGTTCACAATTTTCCTCAATTAGGCATGTGAGACAGTCACATTTGTTGGAAGGCCCAAATTGCATGTAAAGATTTTGGATTCTGTTGATCATATTCAATTTTATGTTAAATTGCAGGTTCTTTCATGCAAAAGTGTTTTCTCTGGCTTCCAGAAGGTTCCGCGATCTCCTACTCCCTCTGCAGGGAAAACTCCAAAAAGTGATGGTGAAACCAGGAGAAAGCCATTCGGCCTGGTTCGTGATGAAGGAGAACTCCCTCTTAGATTACTTGCTGAAGTTGACAGCTTATTCATTGCTTTGCAAGGGCTTACTGTCCATTACAAGCTTTGCTTGCCTGGTTCACCCCCTCGGAGCTTATCCTCTGCTACTGTTCTTGAACCCATTGTTAGTGGCACACCACGAATGGTTCCAGGAATGCTGAAGCTTGATAGGCGAGCACTAAGTGTCTTATCAAAGCCCCAGTATCACCATCTTCACAGGAGCTATAGCAATCAATTTCCCAGCTCCTCTCTATATGTTCCACTGTTGGATGGTTCTGCTACATCTCCTGCTCTTTCTGAAAATATTCCTGTTTTAAGCCTAGATGGTATTAGTGAGGAAAACGAAACAAGTAAATTGAATCCTGTAACTCTGGATCTAGATATGGAGGAAAATGGCCAGGTTGGTATTGTTTTAGTGCATGGGTTTGGAGGTGGGGTCTTTTCATGGAGGCATGTGATGGGAGTGCTGGCTCACCAAGTTGGTTGCACTGTTGCTGCTTTTGATCGACCTGGATGGGGTTTAACTTCTAGGCCAAGTAGGATGGAATGGGAGGAGAAAGAATTGCCTAATCCTTACAAGCTTGAAACACAGGTCTTTTCAAACCCTCTTTGGATGTTTACTCATTATACATTATTATTGGATTGTTTAGAGGAAATGCCATGCCATGCAGGAAAGGAAGGATGCCTTTAATGTTATTCCTGTGCTGTCTAGAGCTTTCATACTCATCTGGCAGATTTCATCATTTCATTTAACTTGCTTTTGAAGTAGTTAAGCACAATTTTAGGTCTCTCAGAAGCCATCATATGAAGATTTGCAATCTTCTCATGACCTCTTGTAGTCTTTCATCCCTAAAGCTTTCTGTGTTGGAGCCCATTTAGCTTCTGTGGCTTGATAAAGCATATGGAGTTTCTAACTCTTTCTAATTGATATTTCAGGTTGACTTGCTTCTCTCTTTCTGCTCTGAGATGGGCTTTTCTTCAGTGATTCTTGTTGGTCATGATGATGGAGGTCTGCTTGCTTTGAAAGCTGCACAAAAAGTTCAAGCATCAATGAATTCTTTCAATGTGAGTAAACCATTGTGTTTCTGGTACCAACTTAGCCATTTTAAACAATCAAATATATTGTTTCAGAATATCTTAGCTAATGAGGTAAGATAAATTACTATACAGAGGCTATTTTGAAAAAAGGAAAATTGCATTTACAAAGATATTCTCAGTCTCTCTCCACGAGCTTTTCCACAAATCTAGTCTTTTGTACAAATTCATTGGGTTCTAATTTGAGTTAAAACCCTCCGCTTTGTCATACTTTATCCCACTGAGGAACTAGAAACTTGTAATCAATTATCATTGAGGGATAAAAAAAAAGGAAGCCTAAATTATGAAAAAAAAAGAACCTAGGTAGTTAGAAAGAAGGATATAACTACTTATTGAAAGAGATAACATTTCTTATAGAGGATGTTGAAGAAAGCAGTTATTATATATAAATACTGAAAAATATTGAAGAATACAGATAAAAGAAAGCTTGGATAATACAGGATCTCATCCAGTTATGAAACTTCTTTTATTCTTGTAAATATCTTAAAACTTTCATGCGTGGTGCTCACCAATTTTTTCCTTTTCATCCATGTGTGTGGTTGTGGATTACTCAGATTTCTATCAAAGCATTGGTATTGCTAAGTGTTTGCTTGTCAAGAGAAGTTGTTCCTGCCTTTGCTAGGATACTCATGCGAACTTCACTGGGAAAGAAGCACTTGGTTCGTCCTCTTTTGCGAACAGAAATTACGCAAGTGGTCAATCGACGTGCTTGGTATGATGCCACAAAATTAACAACAGAAGTTTTGAGCCTCTATAAGGTATGTTTGCTCCAAAAATAAAGTTTAGATTAAATTTTGCAACAGAATCAGAAAATCATTGAACTCTGCCAAGCCATACATCTTGAGCAAGGGGTTCTTCTGTTGCTGGCGGTGATAATTATTTTCTAAATCATAACGTCAATGGAATCATTTTGTCAGTCTCAAGACTTTTACTTTCTATGAACATAGAGTTCTAGATTGTTTGGAACAAATGATGGAAAACTCTTTATCTCTTTTGATGGATAAAACAAAGTTCAGCTCCAAATCTGTGCAATTGTGTAGTTGATGTTGATGAGATACAATTATTTGTTTTAGCAGTTTGGTTGGTTGAGATGATTATTTCTCCTTGTTAATGCTAACATATAGATCAATATATTTTTCCTGATTCAAAAATTGAATGATTTCATGATTGTGTTCAATTCTGCAAGACATTAACTTTGATTTACTGGTCTTTGCAGGCTCCTTTATGTGTAGAGGGTTGGGATGAAGCTCTTCATGAGATAGGGAGGCTGTCATATGAAACATTCATTTCACCACAAAACGCAGCATCACTGCTGAAAGCAGTTGAAGAGATGCCAGTGCTGGTCATAACAGGTGCTGAAGATGCCCTTGTTTCTCTTAAATCTTCTCAAGCAGTGGTTTCAAAACTTGTAAATTCTGTAAGTTTTCTGCTTCCTTTAATTCCTTGGGTTCTGTTTTTAGCTAATCCTGTTCAAACGTCAATGGCTTTTTGAGAAATCAAACAACAGAGATGCAGATAAATAAAAAAGAAGAAAGACGATGCTATTCAATGTTTCATGGTCGTTTTAGAATAATCAATTTTTATTTCAAACTGGACTTGTTGAAGAGCTCAAATGTTTTTTTTTTTTCCTAAACAAAATGACAATAATTTCAGAAGCTACGGGGTGAAGATTCATTTTATCTGATGTTGCTATTTCTGTTTCCAATTCCATGCAGAGACTAGTTGCAATATCTGGTTGTGGCCATCTTCCACATGAGGAGTGCCCCAAGGCATTACTTGCAGCAATGTCCCCCTTCATAAGCAGATTGCTACTTAGACCAGAATTGCAAAGGCGATAGGATACGTTGGTAACTTACATAATAGCTGTGATCTTGTAGGTCTTTTTTTTTTTTCTTTTTTTTTTCCACCCTCTCTTTTAAAGCAATTTATCCCAAGAAGGAACTTAACATAATCTCTTCTTTTCATGGGTAAATTTTGATGCCTTCAGAGCCTTTCCCTAGCCCTAATTCTCTAGGGTTATAGAGCTCTCACTTGTATTTTTTTTTTTAAATTGGTTATTTACCTTCTCTTTTCCTGCTCTTTTGTGTTTCTTAATTATGTTAAGGTCTTAAATTATGAATGTGTTTGATTGAACAGTTGTAATTTGCCACTTAAGAGAGTGGAAAATAGAATATATTATTTGTACATTCAATAGATTGGAAATGAGAATGCATTTCAAAGCATGGTTATTGATAAGAGTTTGCCCTTTGTTCAACTACGATGCATTGCATACCAATCAAATTCGAGAAATTTGTCACTGGTTAGATTTACAACAAATAGCCAAAAAAAAAAAAAAAAAAACCATGGAAAAGCACTATTTTTGAACCGGAAGTATAGAAAATCATTAAAAGAAAGAGCATTATTTTTGAACCGTGGAAACTGTAAGTAAAATACTGAGAGTGTGTTCGGTGGGTGGGAGAGAGGGAAAAGACCCATGCTTTATCAAGCATTAGTACTTAATCTTGAGTTTGTCTAATTTGTGTTAGTATAAGTTAAAATACAGTAAATTAATATATATTTTAATATTATTAATATGTAAATAATTATAATTAATTAAATTAAATAAAAATTAATATTTATACTTTTAATAAAAATTAATTATAAAAAATTATATTTATTATACTATTATCTTGTGTTTCCTAAGCCACAAGATACGTTTTATCCTTCATGTCCCACCGACCAACGATTTTGTTTAGTGTTTTCAAGATTACTCATTACCTTCGAAAGTTACCGTCTCTTGTTATTGGGCAAATAAATACAATTTAAAACAAGTAGTGGCATTGGATTATTCAACCCAAACAATTAAAACGGGACAAATTCTTTAATATTAGAGGTTTTTTTAAAAAGTTTTTACTATCATAAGTTTTTTTTATTTAATAATTTTTATTTTATAATCTATTCTGCAATCGATGGTATAACTAGAAACTCTAACACATAATAACTAGAAAACTGTTAAACTTAACAAGAATCCTGATATAGAAAACAAGTACCGCTGTTAAATCAATATTTATGAATTTTCACAGCTTGCTAGTTGCTACTAGAAAACAAGTACCGGTGTTAAACACACAATAACTAGAAGACAACTGTTCCCAGCATTTTTCTGAGGTTTGGAAGCACAGATAAATGAATACTGATCTATCACATGAACTACTCCTTGGAGGATTTGTTGATAAGTGACTTGTGAATGTGAGGGATAACACCTCCACCAGCTATGGTTCCCTTGATAAGGGTGTCAAGTTCTTCATCACCCCGGATAGCCAACTGCAAATGCCTGGGTGTGATACGTTTAACCTTAAGATCCTTGCTTGCATTTCCTGCCAGTTCAAGCACCTCTGCAGTCAGATACTCCAGTATAGCTGCTGTATAGACAGCAGCCGTTGCACCTACTCTTCCATTTGCATTAACCCTTGCCTTCAGCAGGCGATGGACCCTACCCACAGGGAACTGCAGAGAGTACACATAAAATAATGGTCCAAAACAGGAAACAACTGGATCAGCATTACCACTACAAGTGTTTACCAAGAAAATGTACTAAAATTGAACATCAATCTGAGTATAAAACAAGGGAACCAATAGACAATTGCAAATGTATGCAGAATAGGGTCAACATTCATTATGGAACTCGAGTAACTCAGACATGGTCAGAGGAAGCTACTGGGGAAGATTTCTGAATCTTGTCAACAGGCCAAAAGCATTCACAGTTAGTGCACATGCAGAAGCTCAGAAGCCAGGTGAGTCTCACATCCAAACAACCAATGGAAGAACTCTATATTGGTCAGGTAAGCACCTTTGGCTTACTAAACCTAGAACAAAAGTAAGGCAAAACCAGAGCCTCCTAAATAAATGTATAAATTTTATTCTCCCTATTCTATGTCAGAATAATCCAAACAATTATGTATAGAAAAGATAATGAAATAAATTCAAAAAAGTTATCTATGCAGCACAACAGAAAGACAAAAGTTCATCATAACAAGTGATGAGAAATGAGAATGTAGATAAAAACCAGGAGTTCAAATTCATTGAGAACACTGTAAACTATTACAGATGGTCATGCAGTTTCTGTAGGTAAGTACCAGACAATCCCCAATTAAAGTAGAAAGCAACTGTTCTGAATCAGAAGGGGGGGGGGGGGACAACCAGTGCTCAAATGGAGAAGAAAGATCAACCTACCAAATGTCAAAGGGTTGAAAACATGAAGAAACAATGAATAATTCACCCAGAAACCCCTTCCGTTCCGTTCTGTTCCCTTCCCCTACCCTATCCTTTTCTTTTTCTTTTCTCTGTACATTCCCTTGTTATAAGTCACTAGTGCAACTCTAGAGCAAGTACCTTCTTCACAACTTATACCATAGATCAAAACAAACAAGGATCAATAAGGATTGAGGAGTCACCAATAAAGTTTATGTCGTTCATACACAATTGCAAAGATCAAATCAAAGACCATCCTCAATATAATCCCTCACAATGCCAGCTACAATATTCACTTTTCCAAGAGCCATGTAGCAATGTAAACTGACAAAACTTTGGAAATAATAAAATAAACAAAATCACAAGATATTAATTTATATGCTAGGAAATAGCAAGGCAATGTTTAAAAGATGCTTCAAACCTATGAGCAAGAAGTTACAAACCGGAAGATTCACAGACCTAACTTCTGATTGTCCAAACCATGTCAAAACATCTGTCTTATAAAAGTTTGCTAAATTCAAAAAGTTGACTAATTCAACCATATCCTGCCCGTGACAATTACGCTTTAAGGAGCTTTATCCCTCTTGACTATTGGTAACAATTTCATAGACACGTCATGAAACAACTTACTAAAGAGATTTATTTCCATAGACTATATGCTCCCTAGCGAACACAGTTTTCCTAGATGAGATGATCCGCTTATCATTGAGAAGACACTTAGCTTGACACATCAGAATATCACCAAAAAAACAAGTCAAAGAAATTCTTTTTACTTTTGATTCCTACAAATCTCACCACTGGGGTTACAAAACAATAAAAATACATCATGGGTAAATTCGGACATCATTGAACTCAAAGTTTGCTTCCCCAATGAACACCCTGAAACTAATCTTAGTGTCACTCTCAATTTGGTCTCTTAAAGAGGAAAAAACACAGAAAAACTTCCTAAGGAACAGATTAATGGATCAACAATCCATGATATAACGCTAATCAAAGGCAATTCTAGACCAAAAAACACACGTAACTAGTAAACTCGCGAAGCTAAACAACAAAAACATAACTTTTTGTATCTCATGCGACATTACACCAGCATCCAGACAGAAAATTTGATTAAAGAAACGAAATTGACATCAGAGAGGGACCTGGAGACCGGCGCGAGAAGAGCGGGAGATTGGTTTCTTCTTGTCCTTGTCCTTCGTGGACTTCCCCGCCGTAATCAAACCTTTTGCCCCCTTTCCCGACATTCTCCGGCGGACAGTTGCGGTTTTTTCGCCGAAAATCTACTTCGTTTCACTGAGAAAAATCGAAGAGTAGACGAAGCAGCAAGAGCGAGAGAGAGAAGAGTCGAAACTCGAAAGGACTCCCGAGCAGAAGATATTGGCTCCTGCGCGTCCAGATCTTGACTTTATATTCTCTTTATTTAGACGAAATTGCCCTTGCCCCAATCTTCAAATTTACGAATACAATCTAGTCTACACGATGTCGTTTGGTGCTTTGACCCTCTACTTTCTTTTTGTAGATTTAATACTTCACCGTTTTAGTCCTCAAGTCTTTTTTTTTTTTTTTTTTTGTGAACATTGAGAATTTGGGATAAGGAGGATAACATTACAAGAAATTAAATTATGGTGGTCTTCATGGATAAGATGCACCCTACCAATATAGCCACAACTATGGGTGCTTTAGTCCTCAAGTCTTTGTTTGACCTAAACCTTAACCATTTTATAAAACTATAGATTAGTCCTAAATCTTCAATTTGATGCTTTTTGTATGGTCTTTGGCCTTCAGATTTTTGTTTTTGATTTAGTCTTTTGTTACGAAATGCTAAAAATTAATATAATAAAGGGAATAATTCATGTTAGATGTGGACGGAAAATGTAGGGACTTCAATGCCTTCTCAACACAATAAGCAATTCATAAGGGATGAAAGATTGTCATAATTCTTTTTCCCTTGTGTTAGAGAAAGATTGTAGACATTGAGTGCATGTATAGGGTTTTTAAGGTATAAGTTAAAAAGATAATTAATATATATTTTTGATATTAATTAATATTAAAAATGACAAAACTTGACATTAATTTTTTTTATCTATATCATGTAAATTATTTTAATTAAATAATTAATTAAGAATAAGTCAATTTTTATTTTTTCAACAATAATTAATGTTAAAAAAGTATCCTTAATTTATACCTTAAAATACAAGTTAAAAAAAACATTTTTATATATACATTAGCATTTGCATAACCTAGAAACCATTTTTTTTTTTTTTTACATTTGCTTCATCAATTTAAGTTTTAATTTAATAAATATTTCATTTGTGTTATGGAATAGTTCTTTAATTTTTTTAACACATGTGATGATGAATTATATAATATGAATAGTTTCAAAGAGGTATTTTGATTCGTCCATGAGAAAATAAAGGAGCATTGAGCTAAAACATTAGAGGTCGATTGATTGGACGGAGTCTATCAACATACATGGACACAATGGAGATAGCAATTATGGTCTTTTAACTAGAGATTCTAAAAAGAAGGATCTTATTTCATATTTTTCAAAAAAATCAGGACCTAATTACAATAACACAAAATCCCCAAATTCCTCGGCACCTTAAAACCAGGTCTCTCCTGCAAGCTCTGCTCTGCTTCGCTTCAAGCCTCTCTCTATATATACATATCTTCCCCATCTTCATTTTCCCTTTCTATTTTACGAATAAATAGTAAATAATTTGATTTTCCATAGAAGGACTAGGGTTTCCTTCCCCTTTTCCCCTCTCCAGAAGAAACAAATAAAGAAAAAAAAGAAGAAAAATTGTTGTGGATTTCAATTCCCGAATTCAGTGTTTCTACGGTTTCGCATTTTTCCCTTTGTTTGAGTTAGCTGAAACTCGACCCTGGTTTGTTCATAGAAAGAAAAGGGGTTGTTGCTTCTTCTTCTTCTTCTTGGGTTTCTTCATTTCGAATTCTAATTGGGGGATCGTGTTAGGGTTTTGGGGTTTCGCTTGATTTTTTATTGTTGTTATTGTTGCTGTTGCTGTTGTTGTTGTTGTGAGAAATGGACAAGAAAAAGGTGGCGGTACCGCTGGTGTGCCATGGGCATTCTCGGCCGGTGGTTGATTTGTTCTACAGTCCGATCACGCCCGATGGGTTCTTTCTTATCAGCGCCAGTAAAGGTGGTCTCGTTTCTTATTCTGTTTTCTGGCTTTCGAATTTTGATTCAGTGATGCGAATTCGTAATTGGGTTTGCGTGTAAGGTCCTTCGCCGATCCTTTTTTTTGAATTCATCGTGAATTTGGATGTAGAGGGATGGATTTCGATTTTCTTTTTAATTGTGAATTTGGATCCACTGACCTAGGTATCGAATTGGGTCTTGATTGAAAGTTTAATAGTCATCATTTTGGGATTGATTACTTTGACTGAACTGCAAGTTCTTTGATTAGTTACTTTGGATTGACTAACTTAATTTTTTGAAATTATCTTTTGGTTGATTGATATTCTTTGATTGTTTTTTTTTTTTTCATTGCTAACTGTGAGGCTTAATCATGCTATCTCTTGAAAATGGAAAAACGGCCTTATGGTTTGAAGCTGTATTTTTTTATTCTATCAGCTTGCTTTTGAATGGAGTTTTATTTTATGGTCTGACTGATGAGCTTTTTCTCTTTCATAGTTTCTATGATAGGTTTTCTAGGAGTATATATTCTGCAAGTATATGCTATGTGTGGGTTTATTTCTGAGTCGTGATGCTAGATTGGATGAAAATGATTCAATTATTTTGTGAATATTCTCTTTGGAAATTCTGTTTTCTGATTTTATTTATCTATTTATTTATTGATTTAGACTCTAGTCCAATGTTGAGAAATGGGGAAACCGGAGACTGGATTGGTACGTTTGAAGGCCATAAAGGTGCAGTATGGAGTTGCTGCTTAGATACCAATGCATTACGTGCAGCATCTGCTTCAGCAGATTTTACTGCGTATGTATTTATTTCTCGAAAATATTTTTTACTTCATGGAGCATAGTTGCAACTCAGATAGATGAAACCCTAGTTTGTCGTGTCTCTGTTACTTGTTCCTTTTCCCCACAACTCATTTTATTTTCTTTCCTAATTAGAAGGGAGCTATCATTGGATGATTGACATAAGAAAGTTCACTTATTTTCACTGATCTTGTTGCTTGCTTGTTGATCATATCTCATAAAAGCTGTATTTTAGATATTCATGCACTATGAAATTGCTGTATTTTTTGAGTGGTCATGTATGACATGTTAAAGATATCTGTATGATATTTGTAGTCAGGGGCGGAGGGAGGGGGGTACGAGGCGCCCCCCCTGAAATTTGAAAATCCTTACAAATTAGTATATGAAAAATTATTTCTCCCCCTCCTGAAATTTAAAAATTTTGTAAATTAGTATATAAAAAATTATCCCGTCCCCCCTGAAAAAAAATTCTGGCTCCGCCTCTGTTTGTGGTCATCATAATCTTATTTATATCTGAAAGATAGCATTTAGGGGCTTTCTTTTGAGATGTTTTATTCGTTTAGATTTTAGGTTTCCTTGCAGAATTTAATTTTTTAAGATAATAAAAATTTAATCCCATTTAATTAATTATTTTACATTGAAGGATGTAGTTGATATAAAATTCTCAAAAATGTAAGTTATTAATTAGGTTAGGAATTCTCCAGCTAAAATTCAGCAGTGATAAATTTAGTTTGAACCAAGTCTCAAAGAATTTCAGACATCTTTGTTAAATATGCTGTTGTCTAACCTTAACTATAAATTGTCCACATATATGTTGTCTTGTCTCAAAATTGACATGTTTACCAAAATTCCTGACCTCCCCAAATTTAAAGCTCCTTTTCTTTTCATCTTATTGTTTCTTCTGCATTAGATGTTATCTCCCATATTGGAAAACTGGCACCTTTAACGAAAACTTGTACTTGAGAAATGAGATTTATCATTGTTTAACATTTGCAGGAAATTATGGGATGCATTGACTGGAGATGAATTGCATTCATTTGATCACAAGCATATTGTTCGAGCATGTGCCTTTTCAGAGGTTGAGCTTAGTCATCTACTATTTTGTTTACAAAGTTGCTATAAGTGACAGATTTTTTGTGGAAGTAGAATGCACGACAATGTTCTTTATATGCACATGGTATCTGAATAAGCTGTTCTGTTTTCTAGGATACACACCTTCTACTAACTGGTGGACTTGAGAAGATTCTTCGCATATTTGACTTGAACCGCCCAGACGCGCCTCCAAGAGAAGTGGATAATTCTCCTGGTTCAATTAGAACTGTTGCATGGCTTCATAGTGATCAGACCATATTGAGTTCTTGTACCGATATGGGTGGTGTTAGGTATAAAGAATATTTTTTCAATATGTACCTACTCTATTTCCTCTTTTCCCCTTGGTGGCTCTAACTTCTTGCTTTAATTGGCTTCAAATGATCGGCTAGTTTTAGCTGAGATATTTGATATGTGATGGTTAGTGGTGTCTAGAATTGGTATGACGCCCCTGGAGATTGCAGGTGACAAAGCATCTTACGCCAGTTCTCAGCAGCTTGGAAACTTGTGACACTGCACAATCATGCATTCATCTTATATGAGATATCCTTACAAATTGGCAAACCAATTTTCCCATTACATGGTGGTTGAATGTACAAATATATTCCATCATATCAGGAGCTGTAATTTCTATTATTTACTTGATAGAATCTGGGAAGATAAGTAAACGAATCTGAAGATCAGAGTCTTGGTTATAGGTCAATTTTACTTGTACCTTTTCCATGAGTTTGTTTTGTTTTCCCAAACCCTGTTTTTCATCTGTCTATAAAATCTAGAAGGAAAAAGTAACCCTGAGTTTAGTTATGTTTGTCTTGTAATTTTGTTCCCATCATCATCATCCTGTTATTATTTTCATTAGGCTGGTAATGATTTCTGAGCTTTTCACAAATGCATATTGTGCAGCATTATATTACACATCCTTGTTTTTGTAATTGTAGGTTGTGGGATCTGAGAAGTAACAAGATTGTGCATACACTCGAGACCAAATCACCAGTGACCAGCGCTGAAGTTAGTCAGGATGGTCGCTATATAACTACTGCTGATGGATCTACTGTCAAGTTCTGGGATGCAAATCAGTATGTTTAAAACTGGACCATGTTGCTATCTTATATATTTTTTCTATGCCTACTTATATTTGTGCTTGTTTGGATTGTAGTTTTGGATTGGTGAAGAGCTATGACATGCCATGCAGTGTAGAATCAGCTTCATTGGAACCAAAGTTGGGAAATAAGTTCATTGCTGGAGGAGAAGACATGTGGGTCCGTGTGTTTGATTTCCATACTGGAGAGGAGATAGGTTAGTGCACTGGCTTAATGTTCTCTCATGCCTAAATCTAATATTTTTTGTATTAAGTTGCTGTTTAGGTTCACTTTATCTTTTTTGAGCCTTGTGCATATTTGATTTGGCAACATTCAGTTGCTGCTTCATGATTGAAGTGCTGATATTTGGTGTCACCTTAAGTTGGTTTCTCAGTACTACTGTATTTGGATGCAGCTTAATTTGTAGTCACACACTTATACCTTGGGGCCATTGCCTGTTTGTCTACATGCTCCATGTTGACTTCCTGTTTTCAACCAGATATTGTGCTAAAGTGGCATATTTTATTTACAAAAGTTGAATAGGAAGATTTTCATGCTGCTAGTCATAGAAAAGAAAAACAGTTGATAACCTCAACTGCAAAACACTGAGTTGTTCTCTAAAGCTTGTGGAATGAAGTAGAGATGTCTTGTTTTATTTTTCTATGGGTTGTGAATTTCTTATCTTAATCAATACCTTGCACTTTGTGAATGTAGGTTGCAACAAAGGTCACCACGGTCCTGTCCACTGTGTGCGTTTCTCACCCGGAGGGGAATCCTATGCTTCAGGATCCGAAGATGGTACCATTAGAATATGGCAGATAGGCCCAGTGACTCATGAAGATAACGAATCAGTTTCTGGCAATGGACCAAGTGGGAAAGTGAAGGCTGTGGCTGAAGAGGTTGCTCGTAACATTGAGGGCTTTCATATAATCAAGGAAGGGAAAACTACAGATGCATGAAACGGCCTTGAGTTAATCAGCGCATTCAACAAGTTTTTCTTTCTGCTTGCTTGGCAAGTTAGGCTTGTGGGTGTCTCTTTTGGCTTTTGTGTTTGTCCTGCGGATAGCAATAAAATGGACTCCTTTTCTTTTCAAACTGTGTCTTGTTAGCCTCTTTGATGTTCATAAACTTGTGAAATCCTTTTTTTTTTTTTTTTACCTGTTCTCGGTAAATTGTGTTTAGAATTCACCTCAACGCTCATAAACCACTAATTTTGTATTACCTTCCAACAAGGGCAATATGATAACGTATACAGTTCTGTGGTTTTTTCTTTCATTTCAGTTCTGTGTTGGGTTCTCTTTATATTTTGATAATAATTCAAAATCATGATTAAAAGAGTTTAATATATTTTCTGTTAAGCGTGTAGAAAAGCTAATGTAAGGGTTCTAATCTTTCAGTATGACTAGAATAAGAGGTTAATAAACTCCTGTTCTCGTCCGAAGTTCTGGAATCAATTTGAACCAATTTTGAAAGTAGTTCGAATTGATATTTCTATATATGAACAAAAAATTTTGAAAGGTGTAATTTTAACAGTTTAGCAATCCACTTCGTCTTAAGGACTTGTTTGGTATAGTGGTTAAAATTCAACGGATAGCTGATAGTGATAGCGGGTAGTAGGTAGTGGGTAGCGGTTAGCGGTTAGCGAATGGTGAAAAGTTGGTAGTGAATGATAAATAACGGATTCGATAAATATAACTGTTTGGTTATACAATGATTAACAGTTGTTATTTAACATTAAATGACTAATAAAGACATGTTTGAAAACAAATAAGTATATTTTTTAAAATATTTTTATTTTTTATTATTAAAATTATTAATTTTATAAAAATAA